CCGGGCTACTCGAAAACTTCGGTTCCCAAGCCCGTCAATCCCCGTGAATCCCCGTGAATTTCAAGGTCAATCCTAACCATTAAACGGACGCGGTGATATTCCCTGTTAGCATGTCTTCCTACTCGTCCTTTGTCGATACACTTGCAAAGATCATTGACAAAGAAACGGAAAATGTATTCAGGAAATGCGCCAGCACAAATAATAAAAACAAGTTTGACATCGAGGGTAAGGGTTAATCCACGAAGTACTTTGATTTTCTAGTGTCTGCCTCCTTGTCACGCGAGGAAACTGTCATCCTTGAAGACCTGCAAAAGCAAATAACGTTTCCAAATGAAAATACCCGGCGCCTCAAACTGCCAAAGGTTTCAGAAATCGTAGACGATTTTGCGTCTTTGTGCCACAGTCTGGCGGATTGTTACTCTAGTTCAACTGAGTTTACCCCGGAATTTCCGTTACGTGCACCTAGCTATAAAACAGGTTCGTTTTAATTTGTAAACCAATACTTGAAGACCCTACAATTAACAAATTATATCCCAGACTTTCTGCCTCTCTTGTGGATTCGATTTCCCTGGAGCTAGAACATCGTATGTGTATCCCTTTAACTTTTATCTGCTTAGTGATCATGACTTCGTGTATGCATTGGAAACGAACGAAAAGGAACGACAGGCTGTGGACATCATTTGTTCTGCGCGATTTGGAGCAGGCTGTGAGAATTGTACGCCAGAATTGCACCGAGCAGCTGGAAAACAAATTGTGTTCTTCCTGCATCCGGCTTGGTAAATGTTGACCATATTTATTTAATAATAACTTTCCGAACTACAGTTTCGAGTATAAAAGCCGACGGGTTGGTTTCATTTTTATGGCAGTTTCCCTCACTCCTAGTTCACCAATACTTGTGGTGGTAGATCGCCTTTAATCCCATAACGCACATTGCTGTAGAATATTTGCTCAGAATGATGACTAGCAAGTTTTTCCAGGCTACAGTAAGGAATGAAACGGCACCAGCCTGAGCACATCTGACTAATTCAGCACAATGTTTTACGGGGCTAAAAGTGAAAAGAAATACTAATATTACTTAAAAGGGATACTGAAGTACTGAAGTAGACCATGGCCAGTCGTAATGAGCCCCTGACGGGTGCGGTAGCTCGTGGACAAACAAGTTACTCCAAAACAAAAAATGTGGTTTTGAAAGACGTGTATTGATTTGCCGTACAATAGGCACCTTAGTCGTCATAAAAATATTCTGACTCATTTTGTAAGCATATGCATACTGGCGAACGCTTCCACTTCAGTTCAGTCTAATATTCACAGGACGAATAAGAACTCTTGCCAATGGAGCGTCCAAATGTTTGTGTTGTCGGCGGGTGTTCTTGATTCTCAACACTGCGTTACCTGATTTTCTTTTATCAGGTTTCCTCAGTTTGTCGCCTCATCGGCGAGAAACCTTAGTTCTCGCAAATATACCGATTTCGAGTACATACCGTGCCCCTTCGCGTCCCTAGTGGACGTCATTTGAAAGGCCCGATTACATAGTTTGGGGATGCGGCTTACCTGGCTCTTAATGAAGATACACACTACCACTTAACCTCAGGGAACGTTTCCAGCCAACACGCATCCAGGGCCTCCTTGAAGTTGTGCACAGTACTTTAAAAGGTTTCCAAAATTTTGGTAATAATTTGGCAGCTAAGATAGGCTATGCGATTCGGAGTACGCTGACGACATCGTTTGTCTGTTTGAATGAGTGGGGAACGCGCAAAACGCACTTGACAGACTAGCGTGTTCTGTTGCTCCGTTCAGCTTGCACTTTACACCAGCAAAGTGCAAAGTGATGTTATAAGACTGGGTGTTGCTAAGTCCCGTTCTGGAGGATTATTTGAAATTACTTCTCTTACTTGAGTAGTTGCGTGACCAACAACAGCAGCGAGATAGCCGCCCGCATTTACAAAGCTCGGACAGCTTACGCAGGACTAAACCACCTATGGCGACGAAGCGAGGTTTCAACAAAGTCGAAAAGTTCCGTATACTGCGCCACTGTACGATCATTTCTGCTTTACGGTTGTGAGACCTTGGATTTACGGGTGGAAGATGTCCGTCATTCAGCGGTTATCGACATTCGATGTTTACGTAGTCGCCCAAGTGGGATGGAGTCAACGGGTTAATAACCTAGAAGTTGTCGGTTGTGTTTGGGAATGCATCGAACACGAGCTCGCATTGAATTCATTTCAATGGGCTCCGTTGGTTTGGACACATTTTGCTTATGTCTGACGTTCGCCTACGGTACCGCGCCTTATTTGCAGTGGCCGCTCCAAACTGAGGCCAACCATATGGAGGCCGACCGATGATGTGCAGACGAGGCATGAAAAAACGCGTAGAGCTTTTAGGTAGAGTAAGTGTTTTGTCTTCCGGGTTGGGGTCCAAAGACTCCTTAACTAAATGATTGGAGATACTTGGGGCCAAAAATATCAAACCGATAGCAGTGACTATCTTGTTGTCACTTCTTATCAGACCAGAATGTTTGAAATAGTATGCATGCCCAGTAGGATTGTGCTCCTTGTGTGTTGACTGTAGAGATTCGTTTCCCCCCGACCCTAAAATTAGGCCCAACCACTACCCTCCTTATACATTCTCACTTGCCTTGTACGCATTTTGAGTTTGACAGCGACTAGTGAAGTTCGCTTCACGGTATTGCGCTGTACGATAATGATATGTATGCATGATTATATCTTCCATGCTGTAGGTTCTCGAAGCTACATGTTCTTGCGGTTTCATTACTTGTTCCGATATTTGTCTTGCAATCAGGTCGAATTTACGCATGGGCTCGTGATTCTTCTACACATACAGAGGACAACAACAACGAAGCCGTACAGAACGTAAAACAGCTCAAACGGCGAATCCGCAGTAAACTTTCCCGATTGGTTTTACTATGTCGTGCAGGGAAACGGCACGTTCGATCGCATCCAGTTCTCGCTGCAATGCGTCACGAATTACTTCGCATACGTACGCAACTAACCGGATCACTTACCACGGATGGCACTGCAGCCATGGGATCTGCCCACGTTGGTAAGTGATTAGAATGATTCTTTTTCGCCACAACTCATCAACTCAGTCTGTTGTTGACTGCATCGTGCAGGCTGATTAGTTTGACAAGAATGCGGCTTTATTAGTCCCATTCCGCTATTTCATTAATTTCGCGTTTTTCATATATATATATATATATATATATATATATATATAAGAACGTAACCAATTAAATAGAATTGACATTTGCCACAACATATGAAGAAGATATGGAAAGAGTTTAAATACAAATCAATGAATAAGAGTCTCGCAACAGGTGCGTCAATGACGCCGGTTACCATCCATGTCTGCTAGTGTCTCAAATCTTAGATGTTCGCTGTCCTTGTATCCCCAATCTGGGAGCCTATAGCGTCTTACTACTACCAGTTTTGAGGTTAATGAGGTTAATCGAGCCCAGGTTATTCGTTGTCCACCTTGTCGCCGCGGATCATACGCCCTTTGAACGGGGTCAAACGTTCAAGGCGCCCAATTCACTTCTATACCCAATCAAACCAGGACCCACTGCAACAACCAGGAAGGTGTGAGTGGATGTGATTCGTAGGTCTCTTCTTGGTTCGTTGGTTTGGAATCAGGGGTTTTAGCCAACTCCTAGATTAAATGACGGTGGTTCATCCAGTTTTATTTCTGGATGTAGACTTCGTCCCTCATTTTGGTGGGAAAACCATCAACTGAAGGCAGTGAGTAGGGCTTCCTCAGCAGAGGCTATATAAGAAGCCTGGTCAGATAGGAGCATTTCTCTAGGGGCAGGGAATGAGTGACCTGCCATAACCCGAGACACCGACCCTAACGACACTGAGACTTTCGAAAGTTGTACAATTAATACTACTACTCCCGTGAACAATATTCTTATTATTGGTTTTATTACCATCATCATTACCGCCACCCCTTCTCTGCCTCCTGCATTTTCCCAGTCGGAACTGCACCTTTCCTCTGGGAACCTCAAGAGTACTCCTAGTGCTTTGCTGCGGTCATCCCTGTTGTATCACTCAGATTTTTAGTGAGGAATGTTTTCATTTCTTAAGTGTGTACAGTACAACCGTATTTCTTTATATCTGTGTCATCTAGGAGTACTTCGAATTTCCGATTGGGAAGACGATTGTGAATGTGCCTTGAGGCGCTTTGTTCCGTCAAATCTCTGCTCAGTCTTTGGCCGACTGATTGATCAGATTACGGACCTATTTTTGGAGTTGCCAGCACAAGTCCCCGGTAAGTATTCTATTCATCTATGTGCTGGCTTCGTATGAGCAAATTAAATTTCATTGCGTCCTGCTGTTCGTTGAGCTCTACGATGAAGAATAACCCCTGTACTTGGTGCAGCAGTGGGAAGTGGATGCAGTCATACCGAGTGTTCATATGGGAAACTAACGTAGTAAACTATTGCTTGGTAAGCCTGATGCATAGTGAAAGATTAAACCCTCTAATCAAGGATGCCGTACAGTGGCGATAGGGCGATATTCATCTAAAATATAACATAGAAAGGATTTTGAAAGGGGGAAATAGAGTAAGGAGAATTGTTTAGTGATTCTGCGATTCTTGAAAAAAAGAGATTTTACCACTATGTTTCGACAGGTTAGAGTTGTTTGTTCAGGGTGGTTTGAAGTTTTATTATCCGGTTTTCTGGATCAAACAGTGGTGTAGGGACGAAATTGGTGAGGTTCACATATCACATTCTTTGGTAATATCTTTCAAAAGAGACGGAATCGGTCGCCCTGCGATGCGCACGTGTTTGAATAATGGATATTAGAAACGGATTGATTGCAAGGCGAATGGCTTTACACTGAACACGGTTGAAAAAGCCGAAGTAGAAGAGATGGTCCCACCTCAGGTATGACTGCCATATCCATGGGGTTGTTTGGGCCTTGTAAAGGGTGATAAGTTGAAAGGGAATGAAAAACTGTTGCGCGATGGTAAGAAAAAATCTTCCTAGATGTAAGCGATGCAAGTTGAACAATAAGTGGTGGTGGACAGCTTTGCCGTCGTCCGGTTCAATACCACGCCTAGCCTATCGGGTCTCATGTGGTTCGCCACTTCAAGTCCCGGGGCTTAGGTTACCGGTTTCTATGACGGAGCAACAGGTCTTTGTGAATATGGGGTTTGCCCCGTCTGCTCTTCATCACATAAATGTGTGTAACGAAGAAGATATGAGAAAAAGGACAATTGTAGACCAGGTTGAACTGTAGAAGTTAAACGAAGGGAATTAGATGAGGAATGCAGATTAAGAGCATTATAATTACTCTTGTGGGACAGAGACACACAAGACGTTTTAACCGTATTGAAAACAGCTCGAAATTGAGTTCTTCTAGTAAAAGTGGCATTGAGGTCTGAATTAGGTGAAGCACAAGCAATCGGTCGTAAGTGATGGCAATAAAGGGCTCACAGGAAGTGTTGTAGGAAGTTTCGGTTTCAGCTTGTACAACCATTAACCGTGGACTTTCGTGTGTCGGTTTTGGTTGCTGTCTTTGGCTGTCCATTTGAATGAACAATAGGAGGTTGTAAGTAGAATCCATTAGGAAATGGAGAATTTCAGTGGGCTAATGTTGCAAAGGAATTGAGAAAATGCACAAATACCATTGTTTACAACACTAAACCATATCATTCAGTGTCTCTAGCCACCGATTGTAATCATCCCGAGAGAGCCTAACCCATCCTATGTCGCCGAGTCTCTTCGTTAGGGTTTTATACCTTCCTGCCAGGTTTTCGTTTCACTACCCTTGGCTTTATTCCACTTACTACTTGCCTCGGCAAGAGCTGAAATCGCTGCCAAGTAGCCTGGTAAGTAGTTTACCACAAAATAGAGTGCAGATTCTGAAGCCTCATCAGCTACTGAATCAGGCGGCCTTCAACGTGAGGACTCTGATGCAGGTAGGTCAACAAGCGTGTCTGGCGCATAAAATGGACTCTTTGGGGATTGATGTCTGCTGCATGTCGGAGACTCGAATCCAGGTTCCTAGTACCATATGCCACTTAAGTGCACCAGGGTTGTCTTCGAGGTTCGTCCTCGGTACGTTAGGTGATGATGAAGCCCGTTCTGTAGGTCGGTGTGGTGTAGATATTGTACTGAATAATACAGCCGAAGCTTCACTACTCGATGAGATCCCTGTCAACAGTCACTTATGTGCGATGCGACTCCAAGGGTCTATCAGCGTCCGAAAGGGAAGCAACACCAAAAGGTGTCTAATCATCCTTTCAGCGAATGTTCCGATGAACTGCAGTTCTGACGCATAAAAGGACGAGTTTCATGATAAACTCACCGAACTCATTCGGTTGAGTCGAAGCTGCGGTATAGTTGTTCTCTCAGGTAATTTTAACGCTCAAGTTGGAAAACAGCGCATCGGAAGCTTGCCTAGGCGGTCGTTATGCTCTACCCTGCCAGCGAGTAGATGATGGCGATCGACTTCTTCAGTTGTGCGCAGATCATCATCTGTTTCTATCCAGCACCAACTTCCGATACAGCTCTCAGCGGACAGCAACGTGGAGCTCAAATTCTACTAGCACGCTAATTCAGATCGGTCACATAGCAGTAAGCTACCGTTGGCGTGGCTCAGTACAAACTGCAGATCCTATTGGACCATCTGCGTTGAATCTGATCATGCATTAGTTTTGATGCAGTTCAGTCTTCAACTGACTGGTCGCAGAAAACCTCACCAAACTCTGGTGGCAGATCATCGCTTATCCGACCCAGCCGTTCTTGCCTGTTTTGAATCAGAACCGAGCAATGCACTCCGCAGCGAACGTTGCTTGTGGATCCGGATCAGTGGCCCGAAGCGTTAGATATCTAATGAGTCAGTAGCACTGATGGAGACTAAGCGGCAACTCCCGGTCGTCCGGCAGGGGTAACTGGCGCCTGCAACGTCAACTCACGAGGAGCCTCAAGAAAGACCGTGAGAACTGGTGGGCAACGATAGCTAGTGAAATGGAGGTAGCAGCTGCATCAGGGAACAGTCTTCGACTGTTCCAACTGATGCGCAACACGGGACGTCGGCGAACCATAGTTAGCGACAAAAGTGAACAAGCTGTTCACAATGGGAACCACGGCTTGACTGGTGGGCGGAGTACTTCAACGAAAAGTTCACATGATCAGGTGCTAACCAGACTATCTCGTCTGGTGTAGTTTAGGCTCCATGGGAAGTATCATACGAACCTACTGTAGCCCATGTTCCATATTGCATCCAAGCCCTGATGAAAGGAAAAGCAGCAGGACCTGACGGGCTTCCTCCCACTCTTTTCAAGATGAGGGGCGGTGACCTCGTAGACTTCACTACTGATCTGATGCCTAACATCTGGTTACAGGAGCGCATTCCATTATCCTGGAGCGAATCATTGATCGCTCCAATGTTTGAGAACGAATCTCGCAACGACTGCGCAAACCACTTTGGAATAAGTTTGATCCCAATCGTCACCAAGTTACTAGCCTCCATTATACTTCGACGTCTGACAATGTTTAGGGAGACAAATATCCGCGAACAACAAGCAGGATTTCAACCAGGTCGCGGTTGTATCGACCAAATCTTCACTCTGCATCAAGTCCTCGAACTACACCACACGCACCGTCGACCAACGGTTGTCGTGTTCCTTGACCTAAAAGGAGCCTTTGACTCGGTTGATCGTGAATCCCTTATGGGTTCGATCCTTCGCAAAAGAATACCGCAGAAGTATGTGAACATACTGAGGTCACTCTACTCCCCTATTTCTGGTAGCGCAAGGGTCTACGGTGAGCTGGGTAGGTCATTCTTAACTAGCAGCGGTGTTCGTCAAGGGTACCCTTGTCCGCCATTCCTGTTCAATTTCGTCATAGACGAAATACTGGAGAGCACACTGAGTGGTCTCCCAAATGTAGGTATTGAATGGTCAGTTGGAGCTGTGCGATTTGTAATACGTTGACGGCATCGTTTTCCTGTTCGAATGTATGGGGGATGCACAAAGAGCACTTGACAGATTAGCAAGTTCAGTTGCTCCGTTCGGCATGTGCTTTGCACCTTCAAAGTGCAAATTGATGGTGTAAGACTGGGTGTCGCCGAGTTCCGTTCTGAAACTAAAAGGTGAGAAATTAGCTGGAGTTAACTGCTTCTCGTACTTACGTTTCTGCTTGACCAACGACGGTAGAGCATCAAAGGAGATAATCGCCCGCATTTCCAAGGTTCGAGCAGCGTACGCAGGACTATAACACCTGTGGCGGCGAAGTGACGTGTCACTAAAGTTGAAAAGTTGCGTATACTGCGCCGCTGTTCGATCAGTTCTGGTGAACGGGTTGGGGTCCAAAAGACTTGGAGACCGCATGGTTGGAGACACTGAAGGTCATGGCTGCGAACCGACATCAATGGCGAGCTTGCTGTCATTTGTTATCAGACCAGAACGCTTGAAGTAGTATGTATGCACAGTTGGACTGTTTACTCTGTGTTGACCGTAGAGGTTCGCTTTCTTTTCCCCTCTCTAAAAATAGGTCCAATCCCTGTCCTCCTTAAGAATTATCACTTACTTTGTACGCAATATGAGTTTGGCAACGGTTAGTGAAGTTCGCTTCACTGTATTACGCTGTACAATGATGTATGATGATAATGGTCTGTTCCTCGTTAGAGCGAACTTGAGGCACTCAATTCAGACACCAATTGGCGTAGCCCCCCTTCGGCACAGATGTGTACTCAGATTGACCATCTAGTTACTAGCTCTAAATGGAGGGTGTGTGTGAAAGACTGCCGTTCGTGTTGGTCTACCTGTTTGAATTCCGAACTCGTACTAAATTGTCTATGCGATTTAGTGGCAGAAAAATGATAAGATTCAAATAGTTTGACGTTGCCAAGCTTTCTGACCCGGCCGTGCTAACCGATTACCAAAACGAGTTGGCAGCAAGGTTAACTACTACCCCACCAAGAAGCGTAGATCAACACTGGACAATCATTCAAAACGCAATGCACTCAGCCAGTTTATACAGTTTTGGCGTAATCCGCCGAGTTGTAAATCACTGGGTCTCGTCCAATTCTCTCAGACATTTTGGCGCGCGTCGGGCAATCCCGGAAGACCCTTTGAGTATAATGAACAGCACCTCTCTCTGAAGCGTGAACTCTAAGAATTTGAGAGACTACCGAGAAGCCTGGCGGACGCTACGTGCAAATGAGATGGAATCAGTAGATAGGCATGGAAACACCCGGCAACCATTCAAACTCATCCGTGCTACGGGCCCCAGACGACAGTGAGTTAGTGAAATAATCTGCTAAGTAGACGGCACGATAATATTTAGTCTTCACCGAGTTGAGCTAAACACTTCACATCGCAATTCAACCAGCCTCACTCGTTGGTCGCCTCAATTAGTTCTGTTGAGAGTCCACCCTGATCACTTTCCACGCGACCGCCCACAGAAGCGGAATTCCAAAAGGGACTCCAAGCCTTGAAAAGCCACAAGGTAGCTGGATCAGATGAACGGCCACATGCTTTCTTTAAAGATGGTAGAGAAGCTCTCATGAGAGAGTTTCCGAGACTGTTCTGGAACATCTGGGAAACTGAGAGTGTACCGCACATGGGGAGAATCAGTTGTTACATCCGTCAACAAGAAGGGTTGTCGCAACGCCTGCTCCAACCGCAGGCCATAAGTCTGATTCCAATAGTACCGAGGCTGCTAGCTTCCGTTTTATTACACAGACTAAACCTATCTCGCGAAAAGCGAATCCGCGAAGAGTGGGCTGGGTTTCGTGCACGATGAGGTTGCATAGATCAAATATTCACCCTTCGTCAGCTACTAGAACACCGCACCACATACAGACGACAAGCTATCGTCGTGTTTTTGGACAGCAGAACGGCCTTTGAAGCCATCGATCGCCCAGTGTTTGCAGAGATGTAAAATACCTGAGAGGCATTTTCCGCTTCT